GAGAGAGAGAGAGAGAGAGAGAGAGAGAGAGAGAGAGAGAGAGGGATAGAGGGAGAGAGAGAGAGAGAGAGAAAGAGCCATACATAGAGAGAGATATAGAATAGGACGGAGAAAAACACAGACAAAGAGATGAAGCCATCCGATATTCTAAAACCCAGATTCACGAACCGGATCTAGTGTCGCCTGCGTCAATGTTGACGTCACAGACGTGTTTATCCGTCGCCCCGCCAGCAGGAATACTAACTCGCTTCCGCTTCCTGTACACAGCGGATGTCCGCCCATGCAGTTGGAAAGTGCGCTCGCTTCCTATACAGATGTGACACACACACACATGTACACACACACGCACACACGCACACACGGCATCCACGGCACACACGCCCACAGGGCGCCCACATAGCATACAACACAGCACATATACACACACACCCACACACACAAACACACAAGCACACTCACACACACACGCCACCATTACATACACACACACAGTACACGCGACACGCCACGCGCCGAGCACACGCACACACACACACAGCACTACACACCTGCGCGCGACAACAACCACACAAGCACCGCACACAGTCTACGCCCCCCACTGCACACACAGCACACACACACACACACACCGCGTACTGCGCACACACATCAGCACGCACCCCACACACGCACACAGCAGAGCACACACTGTAACCACACACTCACGCACACACACACACACACAACACACACCACGCCACGCCACAGGGCACGCGCGCGCGCGGCGTACCACACGCACAAGGTTACGCACACGACTAGGCGTACGCCCCGCCCCACAGCACACACATAGCACACACAAGCGCGCGCTGCACAGCCACACACACCGGCACACGCAGCACGCACGCACGCATACACAACACACACACACACACACACACTCGCGCGCACATACAAGAACGCACACACGTACGCCCCCCCCCCCAAACACAACTGCACCAACACAAAAGCACACCGGTGCACAGCCGATTATCCTCCGTCTCCGGTGCTTCATGTATTTCGCAAACACACGTTGTCGGCGTCGGCGCAGCGAGTGAACGACGCGCGTGTTAGCAGAATCAACACCGGGCCGACGCCGCCAGCCGCGACACGTGATCTGGCTTCAGCCGCCGACAAATGCGCTTCCTCCTGGATTCTGCGCTGCGCATGCGCACGCGACGCCGCCTCGCAAGCGTATAACTTACACGCGCAGGTATATACCTAGTGGTTATCTGAGTGATGCAGGCAGGTGAAGGGTCCTGATGTTTGTCACAAGCTAGTGTGACGCTTGTGAGACCGTAGCAGCATCGTATGTGTGAGTAAAGCCTGTCCCCAAAAACGCAGGTATAAGGAGCCGCTAGCTCAGTGAGGCGAACAGGTGAAGATAGCGAATGATGCGGGCAGGTAATGCGGCCAGGTAAAGGGTCCGGATACACTCTCTCGCTTGTTTGTTACAAGCTGGTGTGAGGCTGTGTGGAGAGAGCAGCATCGTATGTGCGTGTAGCCTGTCCCCCCCCCCACGCAGATATAACAAGTGTCTAGCTGAGTGATGCGGCCAGGTGAAGGGTCCGGACACTCACTCGCTTGTTTGTCACAAGCTGGTGTCAGGCTGTGTAAATTCACTAGCATCGTATGTGCGTGAAGGCTGCTTCCCCACACGCAGGTATAACTAGTGGCTAGCTGAGTGATGCTAGGTGATAAGATAATATGATGATATGCGAACGAGTGATGCGGAGTGATAGGAGCAGATGATGTTGCTAGCAGCGTCGTCAGTGAAGCCCTTTATACAGAGTTGCCGCCAGCAGCCGATGTCAACAGTTGAGGTCAGTCAGTGTGGTCAAGCTGACCAGCTAATGAGGGTCCGGTATTAACATGCTGACCGCTGGCAAGAATACGACGCATCCACGCTGAAGGCAGCAGACACCGCAGTGACGTCAGATCAACGGTGACGTCAGATCAACAGTGACGTCATATCGCAGTGACGTCAGATAGCAGTAACGTTACATCAACAGTGACGTCAGATCGCCGTGACGTCAGATCGCCGTGACGTCATGTCTTTCCCGCTCGACTTCACGCCGGAGACGAATCTGTCTGTGCTGCAGAGAGACGCGCGCGCCTTCTTCGCCGTCCAGGGGGCGCTGCTCACCGACCCGCTCGTCGTCGCCATGTACTACCTCACGCTGACGCTAGGCGTCATCGCGATCGGCTGCAACCTCGTCGTCGCCGTCTCATTGGCGACACGCATCCGCGAGTTGCAGCCGTCGCTGCTCTTCATCATCAGCCTGGCGATGGGCGACGTCGTCAACGGCGTCAGCGCCCTTTATCACTTCCTGCTCGTCTACGCCGAGGTGGCGCCACGGTGCACACGCACGTGTCTGGCTCGCATCGGCATCCAGGTGCTTGCCTTCAAGGTCGTCTCCGTCGAGGTCTTCAACATTTCACTCGACCGCTGGGTGCGCTGCATCGCGCCGCTCCGCTACGCCGCCATCGTCACTCACAAGGTGGCGCTGGCGTTCGTCGCCTTCAACTGGCTGACGGCGGTGGCGTTCGCGCTCGCCGGACCGTTCACGAAGATCCGTCGCGAGTCGGCGACGCTAGGGGGCGCCGCCGTCGACGAGTTTTATGCGCAGTATCGCTGCATCGCGCCAAACTGGAGCGCGGGCACTGTGGTGGCGCTGTGTGCATTTCTACTTTTGCCGATCCTAACCGCTCTCGCGCTCTACATCTACATCTACCTGTTTGTCACCTGCCGCCGCCAGGTGGCGGTCGCCGACCAGCGACACAACCGTCGCGCGTTCGTCAGCATTGCGCTCATCGTCGGCGTCTTCAGCGCCACCTACCTGCCCGTGCTGCTCTACGCGGTGCTGGTCGGCTCGGGCGTCGCGCAGCGCACGTGGCACGTCGGACAGCGGTTCAGCGTCGCTGGCTTCCTGTTTCCGGTCGTCGCCAGTGCGCTGAATCCGGTCATCTACGTGTATCGTTACCCGGACGCGCGCGCCTGCCTCGCCCGCGCCTTCGCGCGCGTTCGCCGCCTGCTGCCGACGACGCAGCACTGTTGCCATGGCAACCAGGTGATGCCCTGCAGGGATGGCTACCCGACGAGCAAGGCGTCGGGATCGTCGGCGCACGATGGCGCCACTGCAGCACGCGGAGGTAGTGAGTCGTCGCGAGGTGGCGCCACTGCTGAAACTCGTGCAGAGATGCCAGAGGACAGCCTTGCCATCGAGCTGGCGCCAGGTGGCGCTCGTGCATCGTCTAGTGAATCGCCAGGAGGTGGCGCTGACGGTTGCAGTCAGGATGAACGGCCGCTAGGTGGAGAACAGGATGCGGATTCAGTAAGACAAGATGAAATGATGCTCTAACTATGTAACCCGTGAATCAGCCATGACTCGGTGGCGCCACCTTTATAAAGATTTAGTTTTAGGGTGTTAGGTAAGACGATGGTGGTGCCACCTGTATAAACATGTAGTGCTAGAGTGTTAGGTAGGAAGATGGTGGCGCCACCTGTATTAGGGTGTTAGGTAGGAAGATGGTGGCGCCACATGTGTTAGGGTGTTAGGTAGGAAGATGGTGGCGCCACATGTGTTAGAGTGCTAGGTAAAACGCCGGTGGTGCCGCCTGTGTTAGAGTGCTAGGTAGAACGCCGGTGGTGCCGCCTGTGTTAGAGTGCTAGGTAGGACGCTGTGGCGCCACCTGTATTAGGGTGTTAGGTAGGACGCTGGTGGCGCCACCTGTATTAGGGTGTTAGGTAGGACGCCGGTGACGCCGCCTGTGTATTAGGGTATTAGGTAGGAAGATGGTGGCGCCGCCTGTGTTAAAGTGTTAGGTAGAACGCCGGTGATGCCGCCTGTATTAGGGTGTTAGGTAAGACGCTGGTGGTGCCACCTGTATGAACATGTAGTGTTAGGGTGTTAGGTAGGACGATGGTGGCGCCGACTGTGTTAGAGTTATGGTGTTAGGATAGGAAGCTGGGAGGAGTGATGTTATTGTGTGATGTTAGCAACATGTTCTGCTAGCATCTATGACAAATACAACATACGCATATACGCTCTCCTATGACACAATTTGTCATAGGAAGATTCTTCTTATGCCAAATATTGGCGAGTCAACTTCGTTCCGCTTTACAGTTCAAATTTACTCTTTGCGTTCATATAGTAATTACGCTCCTAAACTCCTATGATGCGCACAACACATACAACAATATTTGTCATAGGAAGAATCTTCCTATGACAAATAGTGTCATAGGAGAGCGTATATGCGTATGTCGTATTTGTCATAGATGCTAGCAGAACAGGCTGTTAGCGATTGTTGTATTGTTACGTAAGATGCTGGAGGTCGCGTTGTCCGTGCTCGATGCAGTTGCCAAGCAACCGTAGCGTGAGCTTGTGACAGCGTTTCTAACGAGTTAGAAATCCAACATAGGCTGCAAGATAAACACAGCAGCTCTCTCTTTCTCTCTCTCTCACACACACACACACTCGCTTCTCTCTCTCTCTCTCTCTCTCTCTTTCTCTCTCTCTCTCTCTTTCCCACTCGCGCTCTCTCTCTCTCTCTCACTCGCGCGCTCTCTCTCTCTCTCACTCGCGCACTCTCCTACTCTCTCTCTCCCTTTCTATCTCTTTCTCTCTCTCACCCTCTCTCTCGCTCTCGCTCTTTCTCTCGCTCTCACCCTCTCTCTCGCTCTCGCTCTCGCTCTTTTCCTTTCTTTCTCTCTCTCTCTCTCTCTCACTCGCACTCTCTCCCCCCTCTCTCTTCTCTCTCTCTCTCTATCTCTCTCTCTCTCTC